TGGCGTCCTTCTTCGCTCCTTCGGTCCCCTGCATGCCGTGCTTTCTCTTGAGGTGCGTGTTGACGTTGCTGCGGTCTCCCCGTGGACACGGAATCTCCTTCCTACCCCTCCGACACTCTGCGCTAGCCAGGCAGTAGTACTTGTGTTTGGCGCCTGCGCTCTGCTCCACGTACACTCCGAGCGAGTACATGAACGAGTCGACGCGGGAGCCCTTTCTCACGAAACCGGTCGGCACGGTGAAAGCATCCACCGCGGCAGCGATATCGTCAGCCACCTCCGCTACCACTCCGCCCTTGCCGTAGACTGGTTTCGGGCTGAGTACGGGCACGCCTCCAGCGCTGGTTCCGGCAAAGTCTACCACGTTCGAGCCATGCTGCTCATTGCTCTCGGGTGTGCCTTCGTTTGTCTCAACCCCGCCACCTTCACCCGCCCCGGCATTCGTGTTTGTGTTTGTGTCTTGCGGCGTGGAGGAGTTGTCGAGGTCCGCAACAACAGCGCTCATGTTCCCTCTCGAGGTTTCGCACAAACAATCTTCTGTGGGTCTGGTGTGTGTTGTGTATTGTGTATGTGGCTGCTGTCTGGGTCTGTCTGTGTACAACTTCCCTCTTCGCGGACCTGACGTCACACGGGGGCATTTTACAGAACCTCACAGAACTATTCTGTATTGTGCGAGGGTGCTACAGAACTATTCTGTAGGGTACCGGCGGTGTCACAGAAAATTGAACGCGTTTGAAGCTCTAGGACTACATGTACATACAGCGGTGGTACGAAATACAACAGCGAAGGAGGTATTGACGTTGCACACAAACGTTGATTCGCCACCCTTCAATCTTGCCGCAACGAATTCCCGAAATCTCCATTCAGGTGAAACTACTGTGCCTTTGTAGCATTGTAGTGCTCGTGGGAAGGCGCATGCCACTCTTGCGGGATCAAGCACGGGGTTGGATATTGGGGAGAACGGATAAATGCTGTTGATAGGATTGTCAAGACTTGTGCTCGGAGTTGCTTGCCGACACAGATGGGAACATCTGTTTGTGCAGCCGTTTTTTCATTGTGTCGTGATCGTGCTTGACCAAGTTCGGTCGGTCTTTGAAGCCTTGAAGATGCCCGTTTGAACGTTGTGAAGCTCCGCTCGGGAACTTCCTCGGGCATACGAAAATATATAGACAACACCGACACAATCACCAACATACAGTGGGGGGGGCGATATAAGGCGGTGTGAATAAGGCGGTATACCCGATATAAGGCGGTCGAAATTTGAGCCCACAACTCAGACTCGGAATAAGGCGGCCACCGCCTTATACCGGGTCTGACCCTGTGTGGCGGTATCTACCTATCTCAAACCCGATATAACGCGGTGATCATCTTCGCATGAGCATACACCCTCTGGGAGGCATCTGAGCTAGTGCACATTCAACGCCCGGACCTGACACAACAATTGTCACGTGGCACATCTAAACCCGTGTGGCACTCGGACATGAGTAGAATAGAGTTTCAAGGCTCCTCTTGGTAACAATTTCTCAGTTAAGTAACGATTGGTAAGGGAACCAGCGACCACCGTAATTTACGTATATTCCGCATGGTAACTGGCCATCACGGTAGTTTACTTACGGCAACCAACAAACCGCGGTAATGCACGGTATCACTGGGGTGGTAACTGGCCACTACGGAACTCCCTTACGGTAACCAGCCACCACGGTGATGCTCCTTAATATCTGGGTGGTACAATAACTGGCCACCACGTAATGCGCGGTGACGTTGGATGGTAACACGTCACGGCGATGAACCGTAATTGTGTTGGATGGGAATGGACGAAGGCCATTTACTTGATAATGGTTTGGGCGGATACGGTCACTGCGAAGTATCACGGTAAAACGTTACCATCTACGATTCCCGTGGAGTTCCCGCGGGAAACATACCGCGGGAAATTCTCCTACGGATCCGTGGTAATTATCTTTGAGTTGTTGCCTGACATGGAGCAAAATTTATTGCAAAGAGGGGATGTGTTTTCAGAGATACAAGCGCCGGGGAAAGTAGTGCTTAACCCGTACCCAGGGGCCAAGCGACATGGACGCAGAATAGATTTTCAACTATTGCATGGTGGGTCCATGTTGGTTATTAAATGTTGCTCTTCACTAAGGTAACAGAGTCGTTGTTCCTCGCATCGGCACCAAAGAGCATGTACGAGGGCTTGTGTGCTGGCATCGGGTGTACATGCCGTTTCTGAAAATATTAGAAATACGGTCGCAAACTCGACATACATGTTTGTGTGAAAACATGGTGCACGTAACCATACTCCTCCACTCAACACCGCGCCGTGAGGTGATGACCGCGACAAACCTCTGTATTTTGCCCTGAATAAGGCGATTTACAGCTTCATTCACGAAAAGGCGGCTGCCCGATACAAGGCGGGAATATTCACCACGCACACCACCGCCTTATGTCGCCCCCCTCCTTTACATGTCTGATGTATCTTCTAGCACTCAGCACAGCGAGAGGTCTTCGTCGGGAATACTAACCGTCGCCTGCAGGTTCCACGCACGGTACGGTCTCGCTTCTCTTGGTGAAGAACTCCGATCCAGCGTCACAATCCTCTGCGATGTACTTCTATGCCAAAAAAAGCGCTGAATAGAAAATTTCGGCGATTCCTTCCCTTCAGCGTACATAACCTTGATAATGCCGTTACACTGCAGTCAGTCCTAACGTAGGTAAACGCGGTGGAAACACATGCCTCGCCCGAGATTCGAATAGTATCAACGTAGTCGCTAAAGTTGTCGACGTTCACCAGCTTGATAGCCCACCGGGACGGCAGGGTTAGGGCGACGTGTGCATTCGTGCATGAAAAACGTGGCATTCACTGGGAGCAATAACTAGCTTCCCCTTGCAATACGCAGATCATGACTGGCAAGCCTTCCTGGGCTCAGCGAACCGTCACCGTTACGGCGCCGTCTCGGGGATGCCATCTCATCACAAGCGAGATCGTTCGGCAGATGCCCGAGCTCAGGGAGTTTAAAGTTGGCATGGCCAACATTTTTCTCAAGCACACGTCCGCCTCCATCACACTCAACGAGAATGTGAGACACGAGTGCTGCTGAGAGAGATATGCTTTTTTTGCGGGGGTGGGGGGTACTTCGAGTGAGGGCTCGGCTCTCTTGTCATTGATAGTCAAATCTCTGGGTTAGTCGCTCAACATTCCCGCCGGTCGCCCCGGTAGCCTGGTTCGTACCGCCGCAATCCCTCCAGTGGCCAGGGTCAGGGGTTCGAATCCCGGCGTGAGTGAGCTTTCCTTGCAAAGGGATTTTTTTTCTTGCGTCGGTTTCCTGGCCTGGGTGGAAAGCGCTACTGAAGAGTTCGTGTGTACACAGTGGGAAGAGAGTGCTGCACCCTTCTCGCATTACCAATCGAAGGCAAAGCACCGCAGGAAGGGTGGGTAGAGGGCCTCAGGGAGAGGAACCCTACTGTGTGACCACGGGTTGGAGTAAACGGTACAACTGCTGTGATCGCTGATTTAAAGTGAGGACAAAAAAAGGAAAGCCTTCCCGAGGTCTTCCCAAAACATCGATCGATGCACGGGCGTACTGTTTTTCATCCCACACGTGTTTTTGGTCCCGTCGAAAACTATGGTTCAACCATTATTTTATCGCTTGCGTGCTCACAATTTCCTCGGCATTTGTGCAGGCAGACCCTGACGTGAGGACGGACATGGAAGCAGCACTCAACGGTGCGTGGCGGACTGCAACACTTTCCACGCCCATTTGCACTACCAGGGGCGGTTATGGCCAAGCCGAAACTGTTGATTAAAGACAATGCTAACATCTCAAAGACAGCTTTCAAAAGAGTTTGGGTACTCTTGGACTTCCCTTCTGCATGTATGCGACGAACCGCAGCTGGGAAACGCTGGCTGTTGATAGCTTGCGTCACTACCGGGACACAGGGCTGGGTAGCGACCCAAGAGCAAACGTCCTCTCTCTTTGTCGCGATGCCGGTGCCGAGTTCAATAGCTACGTCTGCGGAGCTTGTGTGATTTAATTCTGTCATATAATCTTGTCCGGGAATATATTCTCCCGTTCATGTGCCGTCCGTACCTTTTTTCGAATGTGTTTTCCGTCGCTGTCTGTGGCAGAGATTGTTCCGGTAAAGTGGCATCGCGAGATGTTCACCCACGTTCTGGAGGGGCCGGATGACATGACGGGACACGTCAAGGTACTTGAATGGGAAAGCCCTATTGCTACTTTCTCACCTGTTCTTGAGTGATAACCGAATTCGTCATTATGTACAAATGTACAAATCCGTCGGGTTGTCTCTGTTGTCATGGAGCGCAGCCTACATTAGTTTGGTCGTGCGACTTCTCTGCCAAGAATCGCAGACGGCCATTGCTAAGGAAAAGGGCAGTTTTATCTGTTTTCCTCAGCTACAGTACTTGTAGCTCGTCCCTATGTTTGGTAAACCTGGCGTCCAACACAGCCCACTCGTATGCATGCATCTCATGGTGATTCGGTTGAAACATCCTATGGTGCATCCCACGGTGATTCGGTCGAAGCGGTCGAAGCTTCGTACTATGCCTTTTACGAGACTGTGTTGGTATCGCTGGCGGTCCGAAACGCACTTGGGTGCATCGTCGCTTTAGAAATCACTGCCCCCTCCCCCGGACTATTCATATCTCTTCTCTCATTCTTTTATTTTTTTTCCTTTTTTTCCCTTCCTCCTCTTCCTACCCGCTTCCCGTATCCCAAGAGTTCTTTGGTCGGCGCATCGATAGACATCCCCGTGACTAACGGCAAGCTCGCGCTGGGGACCTGGCAAGGCGTGTACCTCTGCGAGCACAGGGACAGTGGCGGCTTCGGGGGTGGACACGCCCGGAATATTGTCGTCACGGTACAGGGCCTTACCAACGATAGCTGACGCCAAACACTCAGCGGGTCGCGACGAACCAATCAGATCAGACTGCTTTCGATGTGCGATTTGAGTGGTTCCCATGTAGTCTCACCACAGAAAGCAGGGCCTCACCAACGATGGCCGACGCCATAACATTCAGCACGGGCGTGACCATCCAATCAGATTTGCGCTTGATGTGTAAAGCAGCATGGTTCCCGTGTAGTCTCACCACAGACAGCTGTGTTTTTATTCTTGGCAGTTGGGGTTTTGCTTGTATTGCGGAGTTTGTGTACGCGTAAGTCGGCGCTAGTTGCGGCCGGAAATGGTACCAACTTGCACGTTGCAATGCCGCCCTCGACGCCGTCCCTATCGTTGATTTGTATTGACACGAAGCACCAAATGACTTCTTCTGTAATTCTTGGTTCCTATGCGGAATCGGTCTGAGGTTATGGCATAAAAATACATGTATGCACTTCGGAGGGGATCAAATCTGTTGTGTGCCCCCGGATGGAAGCTCCTCAATTGAGAGGCCAAAAACCGTACACGGTGGGCAGGAAACCTGGAGCGATGACCGTGACTCCCTCTCCCATTCGGGTATTGGCATTGTATCGCCACGTGCAGTTATTTTTCTCTGTCTACTCGCGCACGAGAGGACACTTTCGTCGCGACATACTGGATAACCGGTCGCCCCGGTGGCCTAGTGGTATCCTAATAGTCCGCTAGTCGCAGAGGTCGTGAGTTCGAATCCCCGTGGGGTGAAAGATTTACGAAATTTGCGGGTGAAGCGAAATATAGCTAAAAAGCTCTCGTGAGTACCAAACTTCGACGTTAGCACCGTTGACGAGGGAAAGGGACGGCTGGACTCTTCTCGCGATAAAAAAAAGTTCAGCACGCACCGCAGGAGGACGGTGGGGCATGAAAAGAAATAAAAAGAAGAAAAAGCCCTGTTTACCCCCCCCTGTGTGACCCCCTGGATGGTTGTAGTTGTAGGAAAAAATACACACTGAAAAGTACACTACTCTACATACGCTGAAAAGCGTAGTACACGTCTCACCACAAAAAATGGGGGGACTGTCGCCATGATGAATAGGACGAAAACACAAACAAACAAACACTGGATGATGAGTGGTCGTCACGGTTTTGCGGGCAGCACCACACCGCTTAGCACATCTCTTGCCGGTCTTGCTCGGCAGCAAGACGAAATCCCAATGTGTATGGCCGGGGCTGTTGGTGTCTGTTATGGAAGTGTTAGCACATAGATAGCCAGTATTTGTAAATGTACAGTAGCACTGCTCTTGTACATCGTACATCTCATTTGTGTCGGTTCGAATGTAACGTACGTACAGATAGCGCCCGCACTTTAGCAGTTAAGAAATTGAGACTCGCAAAAAATCAGAAGGTAAGAACTTGAGCACCATTTGTGAGCTCGGTTAAGAACCCACACTAAAACCTATATAGCGGCTATTTGTAGCCCACGAGAGGATGATCCGCAAAAAAAGAAGAACCCCAGCCTCGGCCGATACTAGAGGTTCTTCATTAAGTGCGGGCGCCATCTGTATGTGTATGCGGAGGAATTACTCTCGCAGTATTCTCTGCGTGGTGCTTGGTCGCCGAGTGGCTCACTCTCTCGTGTGATCCTTCCGGATTGTGTTGGCCACCTAGTCTAAGCGCCAGTGTTGCAATATCTCAACATCTTCTTCACTTCGTGGAAGGACTCTCGTCTTCCAGGCTACCCTCTCGCACGTGTCATCACCGCGACTAACGCCGACGACATAGCCTCTACACCACCATGCCAGGCTATTACACAATGCGATGCCTTGACTGGCAGTAGTTATGGTTTTTGGAGGTAGACATGTGATCGATCGTGGTTGACCATGGTTATTTGGCGCCGTCGGATGCTAAGACGTGACGTCATGCTAGATTTGGGCTTTAGAGTAGTTGTCCCCATTTAGCCCCACTTAAGCCACCCTGTGCGGAAAAAGCTGGTACTTCGTGAAAAGGTTGAACTAGAGTACAATTGAGGTATTGAACGAAAGCCAACATCAATATCTGAGTGTAGAAAAAAAAAAATTGAAAACAAATGAGTTTGTGTGCTGTTAGAGTCAGTACAAAACATGGCTCCTCGAAGCTGAAAAAACGGAAAATACCACCCCCCGCCAATATAGCCCCACTTTGCGTTAGAGCCACATTGTGCACGTTAAACAACCTTTCAGGACATGATACTTGGTGTCATGGTCAATCACCTCATGAACATGAGTCGTAGCAAAACAAAAAAAAATGTTTGCGGGCATAAAATTGGCGTATCCCCGGGTTTTGAACCAACTTTTTGGACGGAAAAACACCCCAAGTATCTCTTGCTGAGGGGCCCCGTGACCATGAATCGGGATAGGGCCAAAAAAATTGTTCAGGATTGAGTTGGTACTGGTTTACAACGACTCCAAAAAAAATCGCGACATGAAATTGTAGTTTGCACGCCATTTTGATCGGTAAGAAGCGGGTGCATTTACCGGTGTTCGCGTCCGTCTACGGCAACCCCCAGTCCCGATATGCACGACGCTGCATCTCCTGTTTTTCTGTACTTCGCTTTCACCCCATGATTTGCCGTTTGACACAGACCTCGACACTAAAGCAAGGAGCAAGGAAATACAAACGGGGGGGAGAAGTCCCCAACCGGGGACAGAGTGGTCACATCCCCGTGTTTTCCAGTCAGAAACTGATTCAAACCGCTAGAACGGTACAGCGTGGCCTCGTACAATCGCAGAACTGCTCGACGCTCCAAAAAAAACCTCCAACCACTTGATTGCCGACTCCTTGCCAATTCCAAGGGCGGTTTCAACCGATTTGGAATCAAACTAGGTTGAGTTCGGATCGGTACAGAAAAACCTACACGTCGACTACGTGTGCCGGCGTCAGCGTTCGCCCTGACCTGGGTACGCCGGCATTCCCCACTACCCCTCCGACCACTCGACCACGACCAGCACCCCGCCCAGTGGCATTCGCCACAACCCCCTCCCCCACTTGATCACGAACGCCACCCCGCCCGCTGCCCCTCCCACGCCCGCCCCCTCCTTCTCTTCGCCCCCGCCCTTGCCCCTG